GAGGCTGAGGTGAGTGGATTGCCTGAGCCCGCGGGTTCGAGACCCGCCTGGGCAACTTGGCGAGACCTCATCTCTACAATAAATAAAAAAATCAGCCGGGTGTGGTAGCGCGCGCCTGTAATTCTGGTTACTTGGAAGGCTGAGGTGGAAGGATCCCCGGAGCCCAGCAGGTCGAGGCTGCAGTAGCCAGGAGCAGCCGCTGCACTCCAGTCTGGGCGACAGAGTGAGACTCCAACTCAAAAAAAAAAAAAAGAAAAGAAAAACTGATAACACATTTAGGAAAGGGCACCTTTAAACAACTCTGAAGTCACATGGCATGGAGGATGTCAGAAACCATTTTCTGACCTTCCTTTCTGGGCAACACCATGTTTCCTTCATTTCCTAAGAGTGACCAACATTGGGTTGCCACCACACACAGGCTGAGCTTATATGGATGCCAGAAGGGATTTTTATTTGCCTCTTCCATATTGATTTGTAGGCTGACTTTCATAAGCATGACTAGGAAATCTTGGTAGTTCAACACATACTTGCTCTGCTGACAGTCTCTGTAGATCCATCTCTTTACAGTAGGAATTTACTTTTCATCATTAGAAAAGGAAGGAATTTAAAGGAGTGAGACCAAAGATACATTCTTAAGTGTGTTGACTTCTTGCTAGGATCCTGGTTAGGCAATTAATTGTAAAGACTATGGTTCACATCTTACCCTGAAAATGCTTGGGGTTGTGATTTGGGTTTGTAGTGAGACTCCAACTCAAAAAACAAACAAACAAACAAACAAACAAACAATATACATCCCACTTGCAGCCACTTGTAAAGCCAGCTAGCACTATAGGATGGGTGTTGCAGATGAACAGTACTGGAGAGGACACTGAAATTCATCTAGTACCTGCCTCTGTCCCTACCATCTTATTTCACAACTGTTACTAGTTATGGCTTAAGTAGAGGAATTGACTTTTTTTTTTTTAGTTTGTATCTCACTCTGTCACCCAAGTTGGAGTGCAGTGGCACAATCACGGCTGCAGCCTCGACCTCCTGGGCTCAGGTGATCCTACACCTGGCTGAGTTTTTCTTTTCTTTTTTAATTTTTATAGAGACAAGGTCTCATTATGTTGCCTAGGCTGGTCTTGAACTCCTGAGCTCAAGCAATCCCTTCGCCCACCCCCCCAAAGTGCTGGGATTATAGGCATGAGTCATCGTGCCCTGCCTGGAAGTTACTGATGATTGCATGCAGCTCACTAATGGCACAGCTAAGTCTAGCCTAGCTCATGGGTAACTTTGACAGTGGATTAAAGAACATGGCAAGGAGGTCTACAATTCAGTCTGGCAATTAGCCCTCTCTTTTGTAGCCATGGTGCCAAGCTCTTCATATGCTCTGGGTGTCTTTTCTGCTACCTCCATTTCTAAGGAAGCAAGAATATGGAGTAGGGAATAGTTGGGAGGGGCCAGGAAGTGGGGACAGAGGCAAAACTGGACCCATCAATGTTGAGATGGTCAATAACCCTGAGAATATGACTATGAGTGCTCTGGCCAGGGCTAGGACTTCCCCTATAGGGGAAGGGCACTAAAGGAGGCTCTCTGCAGACTTATGATGTAGAGTCACAAGATTCTCCAAGGTACAGTTTGGGAAAGCACATTCTTTTCTTTCGTATCAGCGTTCATATTCAAGTAATGTTTCCCATTGTCTGTTGGGCAGTTCCTCATCTGTTTTCTAGATGTATCACCATGCTGGGGGGAGGGTTCAGTAATAGCCTTATTAGGGTCATTTCTGGTCTGCTTGAAAACTGACTTAAAAGGCTACAAACCCATGTATAAGAGTGGTTTTAAAAGTTTTAAAGATAGTGGGAAAAACCCTGGAAAGTATTTGGAATAAAATGCAATTATAACTATGCCACAGAAGAAACAGATTGTTTTGGGTCATGCCTATCCCCTCATTAAAAAAAAAAAAACTCAACAGGTTGCCAGGCACTCCTTAGGAGCCAAAGAAAATGTGGTTTTGAGTTGCTCACGATTTCTAGAAACTTCATAAAGTTAATTCTGAAGGAACAGGGTGGAGACCAAGAAAGAAGCATGCTATTTTATGGTGCTTTTAGCAAAGATAAAGTATTTTACTAGGCTCGGGGCAATCCAGCAGGGCCTGAGAGCTAAGCTCCACTCCAGCACCATGAGGCTGGAGGAAGGTGCAGAGGGCAGGATCTATTGCAGGACATGACATACAGCTCCTTTCTCATCCTAGCTACTACTTCTTTTCCTCTTGCATTCAAGCCACCAAATAGTTCCTGAGCTCCCAGTATATATGCAGCCACTGTTGAGTACTGATCTCCCCTTTCTACTTGGTTTTCCTTGCAAGTCTGTCTTCATATTCACAAGACTGAACAGTGGCCTTCAGTCTTCATTAGCAGTTAATCTTGTCATTTAGCTCTTTTTCTATTTATTTATTTATTTATTTTTGTGAGTTGGAGTCTTTCTCTGTCACCCAGGCTGGTGTGCAGTGGCACTCTCATGGCCGTGGCATCTTTGACCTCTTTTTACTTTAGAAAACATCCCTTCATTAATTTGTTTAAAAACTTATGTCCTTTTGTTGGTTTCTGGATTAAAAAAAAACACCACAGCAACATGGATGGAACTGGAGGACATTATGTTAAGTAAAAGAGGCATAGAAAGACAAATTTTTCATGTTCTTTCATATGTTGGAGCTAAAATTTTTTAATATTGAACTAATGTAGGTAGAGAGTAGAATGATGATTACTAGAGGCTGGGAAGGGTACCAGGGAGGGTGAGATAAAGTGGGGATGGTCAAAGGGCACAAAAATACAGTTAGAATGAGTAAGATCTAGTATTTGGATGCACAGTAGGGTAACTGTAATTAACAGGAACTTATTGTATACTTTATTTTATTTATTTATTTATTTTTGAGTAGGAGTCTCACTCTGTCACCCAGGCTGGAGAGCAGTAGCACGCTCACGGCCACCACAGCCTCAACCTGCTGGGCTCAGGCGATCCTTCTGCCTTAGCCTTCCAAGTAGCTGGAACTACAGGCACACGCCATCACGCCCGGCTAATTTTTTGATTTATTGTAGAGATGAGGACTTGCCAAGTTGCCCAGGCTGGTCTCGAACCCATGGGCTCAGGTAATCCTCTCACCTCGGCCTCCCAAAGTGCTGGGATTATAAGTGTGAGCCACCGTACCCAGCCTATTGTATATTTTTAAATAACTAAAAGAGTGGATTTGGAGTGTTCCTAACACAAAGAAATTATCAATGCTTGAGATGATGGATTATCCCAGTTACCCTGATTTGGTTGTTGCATATTGTATGTCTATATCAAAGCATCACATATTCCTCATAAATATATACAACTGTTATGTTCTCATAATAATTAAAATTTAAAAGATAATAATACTCTGAAGCAGTATGGAGTCTTCCCATTCTATACTTCAAGGAGCAGGAGAACAGTTATACCAGTAATCCAAGGTAGATTTCTATTTGATTTGGTTGTTATTCTTTAACATATTCCCACATCATAACTACCCCCTAAATGAAATTGTGTAAAGATTAGTATCTACTACCTCAAGTGAGAGGTGGCCTAGAAAAACTTTGAGGATATAGAAAATCTATCTTGAGAATAAATTGGACGCCTGAGTCCTGGTCATAAACCTGCTACTAACTTGTACATGACCTGTCTCACTGAGTCACACGTATCTGTCCCCTTCCTGGATGGTCGCTAAAGACTTCAACAGTTCTTACCTGATGGACCGGTGCATAGTTACTTATGGGTATTTGAAAATTATGCCAGGCAGTGATTTTCTTTCTTCTTTCCTCACAGAGTGAAGGCAGCACAAACTGAGTTAGGACAGCAAATTCTGGCTGATTTTGAAGAAGCATTTCCTTCCCAGGGCACCAAGGTATTGTTTTGCATTTTCCCTCCAGTCTTTAGAGATTATCACCATTCTTGCCAGAATCATACTCACTACAGCTACCATTCGTTTATCATTCCAAAAGTGTTTGCTGGCAGCTGCAAATCTGTTTGCTGCAAGTTCAGGGTAATGAGATCATCTTTGATTTTAAATATCCCAAAGCATGTTAGTTCCTCATCTGTTTTCTTCCAGCATCAAAAAGTGAGGATTTGTTTTAGTTCAATTTCATGTATGTCAAACCTTCTATCTTGTCTGCCCTATAAATTTCTGTTTTGTTATGACTGTGTTTTAAAAAAAACCAAAAAAACTCTTAAAGCCGCAATGTTTTTTAGTATTGTTACATAACTTATTGGTTTCGGTTGGTGAAAAGACATCTGGGAGGAGTGTCCGTGGGCTTATGTAACTCTTCAAGTGACACAGTTAGGAGCCTCACTTTTCCCGGTCATAATCCTGTTCTTTGGAATTAATGCCCTTGAGTTCTCACTGGTAGCAGAACTGTTTGTGTTGTGTCTGCAAAGCCCACAGTATTTCACTTGTGAGCTATTGGTTACATGTCTCATATAACAATCTTTCCCTCACTTGGCTGTCAGTGTGCTTGGGTAACTGCTTTTAACTCTGTCCTTCGAATTGTAGCAGATGTCATTTTAATGCTTCGCATGTGTCGGGGGGGGATCCCATGCAAGCTTTTTTCTCTCATATTTGAGCTATTTCAAGAGAAAGAATTGTTCAAAGCAGAAATGGACTGAAGCACACAGGAGCGAGGAGGCTTCCTCCCTGTGTGTTTGATGGGTGGAGACAAGGGATATACATTTATTTACTGAGCCAAGGAACGTTTCCTGAATCTGCTCTATAATTCAATAACTGGAAACATCTTAATCATTTTTTCTTTGTGTTCCATAAAAGAAACTTAGGAAGTAGGTGGGAGTGGCTGCCTCAGCTTTTGTAGATTACTTTCTATAGGAAATCTGCTCCTGATTTTAGAATCTTCATATTTTGTGGCTGTCTGCTAGTAATCAGATATGTATTTATAAAGCACTTTTCCTTGAGAACCTCATATTCCTTAGTCATCTGATATAACTGGGAAGTAGTTGATATTGGAAAGCCATTAGTCATATTTACTTCATGAGAAAAATGAAGGTCAAAGAAGTAAAACAGGATTGTGAAGCTATTCACTAACGGGAAGCACTAGATTCTTCTTAGGACATAGTCTGTACTATACTTGGTTGGCTTACCATTCCAGTTTTAAGAAGTTTCAGAAAGATGTGGATGAAGCCCATCTTTATTATTTAGGAGAAACTAACCGTGACCTACTTTATATCTTTTTTCCCAGATTCCACCAGACAAATGAAGTTCTCTTTTGCTTCCCTTTTCTCTGGCTTGGTGACTTAATTTTTTTTCTTAGTTTTCTTGTTTTTAAAGGCCATAGACTTTTCTTAAAGGTCTTGTGTTACTATTTTTGTTTCACAAATTGAAATAAAGTATTTTTAAGAATTATTATTATTATTATTATTGTTATTGAGTTAAGGTGTCACTCTGTTGCCGGCTGGAATGCTATGGCATGATCATGACGATCACAGCTCATGGCAGCCTCAACCTCCTGGGCTCATAGGATCCTTCCACCTCAGTATGCCCAGTAGCTGGGACTATAGGTATGCCTAAAATTAGCCTGGCTAATTTTTTTTATTTTTTATAGAGATGAGATTTTGCTATGTTGCCCAGGCTGGTCTCTAACTCCTGTGTTCAAGCAGTCTGTCCGCCTTGGCCTCCCAAAGTTCTGGGAGTTTTCCTTGAGAACCTCATATTCCTTAATCATCTGATATAACTGGGAGGTAGTTGATATTGGAAGGCCATTAGTGAGCCACTGCGCCTGGCCTATTTTAAAAATTGCTCAGTGTACCCTAGTAAATCCTATGTAAATGAAGAAATATAAGCACATGATCCCATAGGTTTTGGCCTCTGTGACTTCTCTATAAGGTCAAACACTGTTAAATAGTCAGTGTACTCAGTGGACCACATAACAGCTGCTCAGTCTGGAGCAAGTCAGCATTTTAACAATGTGGGTCTCAGGCAGCTTATGTGACACTTTTGAAACACCTCAAAACCTCAGTTGAGATGGTTACAATTGGAAAGAATTGACAAAAAGTAAAATAAAATAAAGGTTTGGAAGAACCCTACTCATCACCTAGTTAAAGACTATCATTTTTCAGGTGAAGTTGAGTAACTACACCAAAGCTATGTGGCTTTGTAGCTAAGCCAAGAGTAGATTCCAAGTGTTCTTTTTACTATAGCCAACTTGGCCAATCACATTCATTTAGCGATTTACTATAGAGATTGTTTTAGCAAAACTTTGGTCATTGGATTGTCTTTGGTAATGACAAAAACCTTCCCATCATGATGTGTCCGTATAGATCCCTGATACCCCTCCTCTGTTCTCAGGTCAAGAGGCCAGTACCACAGTATTTTACCCTTGTCTGCCTATCTGAGTGGTTGACTGTCAGTGAAACAAGTCTGGTGGTTGGGAACCTGGTTAAATTTAGGTTTTAAGGGCTATCACACTTAGGCAGGAATTTAGCTCTTTTAGAACAGAATCCCAGAGGTTGTAGTCAGGGAAAAGTGGCACATGTGGAGAGAGACTGGTGTTAATCCTGACTTTCAGACCCCTTCGATAGCCTCCTGACATCAGAGGCTCATGTCATTTTGACTTTTTAGGTCTCTTTCAGTTTTAGTATTCAGAAAGTAAAGTTTGCTTTGATAATTTTTGGCCCTGTTTTCCCTAATGTCTCATTGCTGTTGGCTACTGTGAGACTGAGGAACAAGTAACTGAGGTATTCATCCACAGCAGAAAGAATGAGCATCAAGGGAGTGGGAGTAATACTAACAATAAGAGAGAAGCAAGAAGTAGCAACTGACAGAAACCATGAGATTTAAAGGTTGTTTCTGGGTTTTGAACAAGTGCCTGTTGTTTGTTTTACTAGAGGCCAGGAGGACCCAGCAATGTCTTACGAGATGCATGTCTGGTTGCTAATATTTTGGACCCCAGAATCAAACAGGAAATCATCAAAAAGTTTATCAAACAGCATCTGTCAGAGTATCTAGTACTTTTTCAAGAAAACCAAGATGTAAGTATTGACCAAATGCAATCAGATGTAACACTTGAATTTATTGAAAAGTGAATGCTGTCAAGCCAATTAATTTATCCTGTATTAATATTACTATTTTATAGTATTTATTGTTGAACTGTGAATCCTTGGGACTAACTTAATAGTTCAGTCGTACTTAACCACTTTGAAGTCACTGGCCCTTTGGAGAAATTAATGAAAGCTATGGATCTTCTCCCCAGAAAAATGACCTATGCATAAAACTTTGCATACAGTTTCAGGAAATTTACAGGCCCCTGAAGCCCAGTCATGGGCCCCAGGTTAAAAACCTTTGGATCAAGTAAAAAAGATAGCTTAGATTTTTTAAAATTATGAGAGCTGGGCGTGGTGGCTCACACCTATAATTCCAGCACGTTGGGAGCCAAGTTGAGAGGATTGCCTGAGCCTTCGGGTACAAGACCAGCCTGGACAACTTGGGGAGACCTTATCTCTACAATAAATCCAAAAATTAGCCAGGCCTGGTGGTGCCTGCCTATAGTTCCAGCTACTTGGAAGGCTGACCCCAGCAGGTCGAGGCTGCAGCGGCAGTGAGCATGCCACTACACTCCAGCCTGGGCGACAGAGTGAGACTCAAACTCAAAAAAAAATCATGAGAAATTCTGAGGTTGGTTGTCTTTTTCTTGGCTCTGTGTTTTTGCTTGTTTCCTTCAAGTGTCAGTTCTACTTCTAAGCATGAGGGTGGTTTTTGTTTATGAGGTTGCCTGGCTGGACAAAATTGACAGACGCTACGCCTGGATAAAACGCCAGCTTGTAGACTATGAGGAGAAATATGGCCGTATGTTTCCACGTGAGTGGTACATGACCGAGAGGATTGCAGTAGAATTTTGCCATGTCACAAGGTAGGTTCCAACTCTCTACTGGCTCTGGTCCCAGTTAATTGAATGTTTCAAAATCATTCCCCCAGTCTTTAGTGGTTCTTTGTTGTCCTGTGGTTGGGTACCACTTCCAGACTCCACCAAATGATTGATTCCACTCTCATATTCAACTGTAGCCATTCCCTCTGCTCCTTCTTTGCTCTAGGACTTGTCTTTGGTGTAGCTCTGCCTCAAAAAGCCTGCCTTCTCGACGTTACCATCTCAAGACTCATCAATCAGATTTACCTGCAGTGATTCATCATCCCCACATTTTCCCCTACATCTGTACCACATATACCAGTGTGCTCTGTATATATCCATCATCATTTTGGCTTTCTGACTAGATAGTTCCATAGAGACATGGATACTATCTACTTTACTGACATGCCAGATACTGAGGGAATATTTGTTGAATGCATTTCCACCTCCAATACAATATTTGTAATCTCTAGATAGTTACTATTACTGGCATCTGAATGCTCTAAGCACTTAAAAATTATTATTGTTATTGTTATTTTTTTTTAAGACAAGGTTCACCCTGGCACACAAGGCTGGAGTGCAGTGTTGCCACGATAGCTCACTGTAACCTTGAACTCCTGGGTTCATGTGATCCTCCTGTCTCAGCTTCCCAAGTAGCTGGGACTACAGGCACATGCTACTATGCCCGACTGATTATTATTTTTTTATTAGAGACAGGGTCTTGCTACTGTTATCTATGCTGGTCTTGAACTCTGGGCCTCAATTGATCTTCCTGCCTTGGCCTGCCAAAGTGCTGGGATTACAGACATGAGCCATTGCACCCAGCCTGAGTGTTCTAAAGACCTTCTCTCATTTGTCCTCTCTAAAGCATCTTTGAGTGTAGCCAAGGGGTAGATAGTTCCTTTGTATTGAAAAGTTAAAGCCAAGAAGATTAGGCCAGTGTATCGTGACAAAACTAAAGTTAGAGCCAAACTTTTTTATTCTTTATTTGCAGCTATTCTACAACAGTGTTGGTAACTGGTTTTTGTTAGTTATATATTCCCTTCTAAGAGTACACAGTTACATCTGACTCTAGGTTAATAATCGAGGAAGAAAAGGCTCGTATCTAAGCATAACTCGCCCACCATAGCATGATTCATGGTGGTCTTTTTTTTATTAAAATCATGGAAAGTACAGTCAAATTGCGTGCTTTAAATACATTGTGAGGGGAAATGTTTTAAGGGATATTGGCTTTTTTTTCTTGACAGACTTTATTTTTTAGAGCAGTTTTATGTTCACAGCAAAATTGAATGGAAGGTACAGAGATTTCCCATATGTCCCTGTGCCCACTCATGCGCACAGTCTCATTATCAACATCCCCCACCAGCGTGATATATTTGTTATAATCAGTGAACCTAAATTGATACCTTATTATCCCCCAAAGCCCATAGTTTACATTAGAGTTCACTCTTGGTGTTTCCATTCATTCTTTGTGACTATCTTTTTTTCTGTTTTGTTTTGTTTTTAAGAAAAGGGGTCTTGCTGTGTTACCCCAACTGGAATGAAGTGGCTATATGGAGTGTAGTGGTCACTATGCACTATAACCTTGAACTCCTAGGCTCAAGCTTCTCTCCCGCCTCAGTCTCCTGAGTAGCTGGAACTTCAGGCACACCCTGTTCCATTCTGTGTGGCTGTTGTTTTAAAAAGCACATTGGACCAGGTGTGGTAACTCACACCTGTAATCCCAGTACTTTGGGAGGCCAAGGCGGGAGGATTGCTTTAGCTAAGGAGTTTGAGACCAGCCTAGGCAACACAGTGAGACCTCACCGTTAACAATAAAAAAAGATCAGCCAGGTGTCGTGGCATATGCCTATAGTTCCAGCTACTGGAGAAGCCAGTCGTCTGAGCCCAGGTCAAGACTGTGGTGAGCCCCTAATGTGCCACTGTACTTCCGGACCTTGACTCAAAAAAGAGAAGAAAAGAAAAGAAATACATTGGCTACTATAGATTTAGATAAGATTTTAGTATTGATTCAAGGTCAGTTGTGGTTATCACCTTTTAAATCTTCATCAGCAAAGAAAGAGTGAATTCCTTGAGAAACTGTTAACAAATTCTTTTTAGCCTACAGTTCAGCAGACTCAATAACTAACTGAAAAATGAAGCCTGTAAGAGACTGGAAGTATACTAAAGCCAACAAGTATCTGTGAGCGTCAGTACCTGCTATTATTGTCTCAGCTAGTGGCAGTGCTGCTGCCAAGCTTTTATTGTTAGAATTTTGGCTGAAATCCTACAGATAAACTATTTTCAAATAAACTCAGTGGCTCTTTGTTTGAATTTGTCATTTATTTGTATGGAAAGATGAGGATAGCTTCGTCCTGACCAAGAACTCACATGTCACTGTTCCCCAACAACTTACATTCTGAAACAGAACACTTGAGCTACACATAAGCTTCATGGCAGGAACCACGTGAGCATGTACGTGTCACTTTTCACATGGGGATTCTTGTCTGCCACGTATTTCCAGGGTTCTTGTCCTCTAGTTGAAGAGATGGTTATTGCACTCTCAGGAAGAGGGAGGGCTTTGTAATGCAGTAATTAATGATTTGTGAAACTATACAGGATATATATATTTTAGTAAGATACTAAATAATGTTTCATATGTATTATTAACTAAGTATTGAAAGGTTTAGAGATGTAAGCATAGTAGTAGCTATGTAAACAAATTAGCATCCATAATCCTTGAGTTTTTTTGACGGCAGATAATTTCACCTTAAAATTCTTATTTTAGAACATGTAGGCCGGGCTCGGTGGCTCAACCTGTAATCCCAGCACTTTGGGAGGCCGAGGTGAGTGGATTGCCTGAGCCCACAAGTTCAAGACCCACCTGGGCAACTTGGCGAGACTTCATCTCTACAATAAATCAAAAATTAGCCAGGCATGGTAGCGCGTGCCTGTAGTTCCAGCTACTTGGAAGGCTGAGGCGGAAAGATGGCTGGAGCCCAGCAGGTCGAGGCTGCGGTGGCCGGAGCGGCCACTGCACTCCAGTCTGGGCGACAGAGTGAGACTCCAACTCAAAATAAATAAATAAATAAATAAATAGAACATGTATTCCCCAGGTATTAGTCCAAACTGGTAATAAACCACATATTTGTTTTCTGAATATAATTTGTTTTTTGAATATAATTTGTTTTTTGAAATGACCACATATTTGTTTTCTGAATATAAAGCCAAAGCCATTTACTTTGTCATATTGTGAATGAATGATCAGTTTATTTGACAATATTCTCATCTCTTTGTTTTGAAGGACAGAACTTGCCAAGATTATGCGTACTAGAGCTAAAGAAATTGAGGTGAAATTGCTTCTTTTTGCTATTCAGAGAACAACTAACTTTGAGGGATTTCTTGCAAAACGCTTCTCTGGCTGCACCCTGACAGATGGAACCTTGGTAAGACCTTCCTGGAAAGGCTGGAACCAGAAGTCGATGGACTGGGTGGTTGGGCTTCACTTAGTGTTTTGCTATAGGGTGATTCTGTCCATTGATTTAAGTGCTTAATCCTCCATTCCAAGGATTCCGCCTAATTAATGTGAAAGTGCTGATACTTTATTATTGTTTGTTATGCAGTACTTCATGTTTTTAGAAGGACCTGTCATCATTTTATCTAAGTAGTGATCCCATTTTACAAACTAGTAATTTTGTGAGACATAGAGGCCTCACTTACTTGGTCACAAGTATCTTATTACTTTATCAACTATGGAATGTTATTATAGTTCGGATATGTTTTTACTTTAGGATTTGCCTTTTAACATCTCTGGTGAGCAAATTAGGTCTGTGTGTCTCTCTAGAAACCTCAAAGCCAAGTGTACAGGACTGTGTATCTTCTTTGGAAAGTTGGGCTATAGTATTGCTGATTAAAAACATTTTGTCTCCGGGTAGTCAAAGACCAGGTATAAAGTGTACCTCAGAAAGGCTCTTCTTTTTGGAGGCCTAGGCTCCCTGTTGACACAACAGTGTGCTTTCTCTGTATTTCCTATCCATGGAGAAATCAAACATTTATGTTTTATAGTAATTTCTGTTTATATCATTACATACACATAGACATAGGCTTTGAGCTCCTTAAATGCAGGAATCAGAGATGTGGCTGACTCATTTCTGTCCCCTACTCATGCAGAGAATACACAGGACTCATACAGACAGGCAGAAATGGAGAGAGAAAGGAGAAAGAAGGGAGGGAAGAAGAAATCCAAGTTGACAGAATCATGCCTTTTGAATCCTTGTTAAAACTAGAGATATATATATATATATATATATATACACACACACATACACACACACACACACAATTTTTTTGAGTCAGGATCTCACTCTGTTGCCCAGGCTGGAGTACAGTAGCAATGATCACGGCTTATCACAGCCGTGACTTCCTCGCTCAGGTGATCCTCCCGCCTCAGCCTCCCAAGTAGCTGAGACTGAAGGTACATGCCACCATGTCCAGCTGATTTCTTTATATTTTGTGGAGATGAAGTCTCGCTAACCCAGGCTGGTCTCGAATTCCTCGGCTCAATCAATCCTCCTGCCTGGATCTTCCAAAGTGTTGGAATTACAGGGGTGAACCACTCCATTGACCCGAATTTTTTTTCTTTTTTTTTTTTTTTGAGTTGGAGTCTCACTCTGTC